GTCATGTTAGCAATAGCTTCCAAGGATCACAGAATTCCTTCAAGCCAGAGCTCCATACAGACTTAAATAGAAACCACTATTAAAGTTTCTGAGAGAATGAACTCCTTTCTGAATATACCTAAATCTATTATTCTGCCTTGGTAGGTTCTCTGCAAGTCTCCCAGTGTTGCACATAATCTTCTGTTGTAATTGCCAGCTTTGTGTGGTGACAGTAAAAAAGAATTGGAGTGACAGGATGAAACACAGTGGGATCCAAGCTTGTGATATGTTTTCTTTCTGATTTTACACAATATGCCAGGCAGGAGGCTTAGAGTTTAAAATTTTAAGATTTGGGGTTTTTTTCTCCTGGGATTTCCAATCCCCCCTAAAATGTCTGAGTTCCAAAACATGCTATGGACATAGTGCTGGCCTGAGGGGAGGGCAGGAGAAAGTTTAAAAAAAAAAAGGGAAACAAGTATTGATTGCACACACCCATATGTGCAAAGCATCTTATACCCAGAGAATGTGCAGAACGTGCTGTCATCAGAGCAGTGTTAATCACCTGACTTGGACACAGAAAGTAGAGCCAGGGGGAACACACTGGTGCTTAACAGAAGTCTGCTGGTGATGCCTGTGTTTATCCATACAGACTTCTGAGGGAGAGTTTTCTTAGAGGTTTAAGAAAATTGTACTCAAGAATATTCTTCTTTGATATTTTGCAGAGTAATGTATTCTGCCAGACAAAGGCCTTTTTACTTATCTTTCTGTACATCAAAGTGTGTTTTCCCCTTGAAATATGGGGAGCTGACAACTGTACAACAGCAGCAGGGATCTGGGTTCACAGAATAAGCAGTGTTTCATTATGCTGCTTTATTTGGATGGGCAACTGTGAGAAATAGCTTATGATGTATAAAATATCTGAGTCGCTTTTTGTACTTTAAGACATTGTTATCTCTATTTGAAGTTGGCTAGTGAAGGTCAGTCAGGCTAACTGCTTGCAAAAGAATATCCTGTCTCTGTTGGTAGATACTCTTTTCAAAGTTCATTGCATCCAGCAAGCTATTTTTGTAAATACCACCCATCATGGCAAATTACATACTTTAGTGGGAGGGGGAATGGGAATGGTGTAGAAGTTCTTTTCATTAAAAAAAAAAAAATCAATTGTTGTTGTAAAGAGCATTGCATAGCCACCATGAAAAGTGTAAGAAGTTAATTTGTTTAAGATTTGGTGTTGATCAGGAATGTCAAATTGCACTGCGGAAGTGATACATTCTGTGATAACTGTAATACTGAAACTTTCACTCACTGATAACCATGGCAGTGATACACTGTGATATTTTCATGACATTTCCTTTGCTTTACTTTGAAGTCTAGTTGGTTAAGTCAGGAAGTCTTTCTGTATTAGCAACACTGAAGTTACAGTGTTGTTTCTTCCTCTCTTTATGTTTTTTGTATTTGTTCTTCAGTGAGAATGGAATGCTGGCTGTGTAGGAGAGTGCTAATGCTGGCAAGCAGTCACTTACTTCTCCAGCCTATCACATTCTGAAATGAAACCCATTTAAAAATGGGATTTTATGCTAAGTAACATTTTAAAATGAATCAGTAGCTTCTTTGTACTCTACTTATTAAAAATAAATCTCTCAGTGGTGTGTTTGGTTTAGGCTTTATTCTATGGTGTCTACTCAAATCTACATAAACTGCTTGTCCTGCCCCAGAAATATTTACAAACAAGAGTAATCCTTGGTAATTGTGCCTGATCTAGTGAAGAAAATTACTGGTGTATGTTGGACCTGCAGAATTTGTTTCTCAAGAGATCCTTTTGATTTTGAGAGAGCTGATGTGTTGACTGCCTAGGAGAGGCATTCACATGTTGAAGCAAGTGGAATGTAGCACTGCCCCAGAGAGAGCCAGAGCTCTTGTAATTCCCTCTTTTTACAGTAAGTGATTTTATGACTGGGGTTTTTTTGCACAATCAACTCATTTCTAGGTTATTGTTGCCTACCTTGGATGTCCTGGATAGCAGTCACTGGCTTCCTGCAATGCAAGGAAACCTGATCACGGTGTTGCATCTTCAATGTTTATATTTAAATCACTAGTTATAATGTATCTTATAATAGAAGATACATAATATAATATACATATAATATAATATACAATTAATATAATATAATATATTATAATATAAGATACATTATAACTAAGACCATATATATAATTTAAGTTATTTTCTGGATAAGCTGGTACCTTTTTTGCTCAGTTTTTCTAGTCGCTTAGATTTGCCTGTGTAAAAAGGAAGACTACTTAAAACTTCATATTTTATTTTATATAATTGAAGATTACTGATTAATTTAAAGGTTATCCTGTTGAACTCACTGGCAGCATTTATCCTTGTTCCACCAGATTGCAGCTGCTTTAAAACCACAGCTCAAAGCAAAATACTTTGTTTTCAATGCAACCACCAGTGGAATGAAGGAGATGCAAAAATATCTACCTCTAAGCTGTTCCTTTAAAAGGTTATCTGAAAATATCTGCATAAACCAGCTAAAAGGTTTTACCAGATGATAATCAGTAATTATTATGGAAACATCTGATTTGGAAAAACCCACGACGCATCTCACATTAAAAAAAAAAAAAAAAAGGTAGAAAAATATAAGCAGTAATATTTCCATCAGTGCAGTGTTTCATGTATCAGGGAAAGTGGGTCCTCAGTCAGCGAATACAGCTAAGTCTGTTTTGTGCTGTGGCAAATCCCATTGTGAAGAGGCTGTGAGTAATCAGAAGTGACAGCATAAGCACTTTCTGTTCAAAGTGATTTTACAGAAAGCATTATTTTCTGAGAAAAGTACACATATGGCTCCCATAATGCTGAAAGAGCACTGCTGTATCCATTTATTAGCACTAGTGTTGGGAGAGGAAGTTTTGCAAATGGTGTTCAGATTAAAGACCTTTTTCTCTGCTTTCCTATTCCATAAAACACCCTTAAAATCATAGGAATCAGACAGATAGGCAAGGGCAAGGCAAGAGTGTCTGCCAAGGGGATGTTAGGACAGTCTGTGAGGATGAGGATGCTGTCAGGAGCTGTACCTGCAGCTCAGGGGTCACTCAAGAAGTCAAACAGCAGCAAAAATGCAACAGTGCTCATGTCTGTCCTTGTCACACCCTCCTGTCCTGTCCCCTACCCTGAGCCAGACAGTGATGGTGGGACTGGAATGAAAACCTGAGACCTTTTGCTTTACAAATTATGAATTTAAAGGATGAGATTTCCCCCTGTAGTAGATATTTATATCTAAAGGGGATTTTTTTTTTTTTTT